ATTACCAATCTTTATAGGAGCAGAATATCTAAGTAGCTGAACACTATCTGTCTGATCCATATGATAGCAATCACACCGCACTTGTGATGTGCAGCCTTATATTCAATCTGAACAAAAGAACATTGCAGGGCATGAAAAATAACTACATTTCTGCTAAGTGCCCTATGGGAAATGAACTCATATCCCAAGATATACTAGAATGAAACCTTTTCTCAGATGAATATGGGATAGTGAAAATGGGTTAGTAATGTATGTACTAGGCCTTACTCTGCTTGAGGTGACTTAAGAAAAGAAAAGCTCTCAGCCACATTTATTAAATTACCCAAAGTCACAGAATGTCATATTCTCCTTTTAAAAAGTAGTTAAAAGTGGTAAGCTCCATCTTAATGGAGGATTAATATTGATGGTAGAAGATTAGTCAAGACAACATCCTGCCACTTATTGATAACACTATTGTAAAAAATGAAAGGAAGAAAGGCCTGAACCTATCTATTATTGACTGTAGCTTCACTGACTCTTGACTTTGCTGTTACCTTTGGTCCTACTAGTGCCAGCTCAAGGATATACAGTATGGCACCCCTAGGCCACATTGACTGATGGTGCCATTTTCCACTGATATGAAAATTCACATTTTTAGAATGATTTGGAAGAAGGGGCAGCATAGGTGCTCCCTAAGCTTTGTGCCCTAGGCTAGTGCCTACTTGACCTTAGCTTAAAGCCAGTTCTGGTTTCTACTTGCATACAACCCCTGACAGCTCAATCCTAAGGAAATGTGGCTTCAACAAGGAATGATTCTTCATGCTTGCTCTTGAACCAAACTAATTCCAGTCTTGAATTGTTCTCCATGGGTTTCACAAACTCTGGGAAAGCTATATAAATGACAGCAGAAGTAGATGACACTACTTGACTGAATCAAGCATGGCAATAAATCTGACTCCCTTAGTATTAGCTTACAGGCACAATGATATTATTGCTCCCCTTTCAGAACCCATCTACTTCAAAACCTTGCATCAGCCAAGAAAACAAACACATGGCTCATCGAACAAATCAACCTAGAGTTCTCACTAGTGACACAAATGACCACAAATTATCTTACTTTGGATACATTATATGAAGAGCTAGCTCTCTGGAGAAGGCTCTAATACTGGGAAAAGTGAAAGGAAAGAAAAAAGAAGCACAACCAGCAATTAGGTGGATGGACTTAGTTACAGTGGCAATGAGTGTACCATTGAGAGACCAAGTTAGGGATAGATTGTCATGGAGAAAATCTATGTGGTCATTAAGAGTTGACACTGATTTGATGGCACATAATCAATCAATTCTTGTGCATTATTGTATTTCTGGGGAAAAAATAGCATCACATGTGGAAAATAAAAGTGAAGTATTGTTAGAGAAACATATTTAGTATAGGAATAAGATGGGCTTCAAGGAGGAGACTGAAGAGAATTGTAAAAATATTATGAATGCTAGCCAAATCCAAATTAATACTGAAACTATCAAGGAGCTGCCACAGAATTGGACACCATAGCGCATATGTTAATAAATGCCCATTACATAAGAATAGATATATTTCTTCTTGCCACTCAGGCTCAAATCAAGGCATATGCTTTGCTTTTTTTCCCCAAAATGCAGGAGGTATTCCCCAGTCCCATGTCAGAAGTCAAAAGAACTGCCAATTTAATCTTACTTGTACATCGGCAGTATTTTCTATTGGGTCTAAGGAAATTTTTAGGAAGGGCCACATAGGCTGCTGTGAATTTGCACAGCTTTTAACACCTCTTTAGCATTGCTGGAGCATTGCTTCAGCTTTCCATCCTCAGTTTCCCTCATCATAGGACTGTCTATCATCTTCCATACTGTTGATTGTGAAAGAGACAAAGGGCCCACCAAATGCCAACTGGAATCCAACAAATGAAATGGAAGCTCAGCAACACCATCATCCACCATTGTTCTCTAGCAAGACACTTACTGCTTCTGATACTGATGGTAACTGTTCTATAAAGATAAAATAAAGCTATAAACAATGCTGATCTCCAATATCTTGCTGCAGCTTCCTGTCTAACATCTCTGCCCAATGGTATGGCTGGTTCTGGATGCAGCTTGCTCAGTTAAACAACTATAGTCCACAACACACAGTTTTATAGCATATTTGACTATATGACTGTTGCTTTCTTTGGTTGTACCCAATGCTGCATAAGTGATACCTTAAATGATAAAAAAAGGAGTGGGGGGGGGGGGGGGGAGACAGATAAGGGAGATT